TCGAACTGGACCTGGCGACTCCACAACCAGTCATCTTCTTGGCCGCTTTGGGCTTGGTTCCCGATGTGAAAATGGTGAGAGATTGCTGAACTTCGCTGATCGAAACCGACTGCTTGTCACCAACACATGCTTCCAGCATCGAAAAAACATCTGCTGACCTGGTATTCAAACGATGGTCGTACGGCCAGTCAGATTGACTACATACTAGTCAGCTCAAGATTCCACAGCTGGGTTCACGATAGCAGATCGATGCGTGGTGCCGAGACTGGTAACGCCCATGGGTCGGACCATGTCCTCGTCCGTACACGCCTGAAAGTTCATCTCTCATCCGCGCCGAAAATGCCACGTCCTAGACGCCTCAATGTCGCAAAAATCCAGCAAGCCAGCACTGCTGAGGCCCTAAGCAGAGAAATCCGGACCTGTTTTACGACCCGAGCCGACGGAGAAGTCAGGAACCAGTGGTCGTCATTGAAGACATCAGTCTATGGGGCAGCTGAGAAAATCCTTGGATATACCCAGCGACGCCGCAGTGACTGGATCAGCGGAAGAACCCTGCAGTTGTCTGCTCAGACGGCTAGAGCCAGGTCCCGCAACGATGACTACTTCCGCCAACTTCGGAAGATGACGTCAAAATCGGCCAGGGATGACCGAAAGCAATATTGGGCTGAAATAGCGACATCCATGGAACAGGCCTCGAACGTTGGTGACACTCGAAAGCTCTACCGTCTGATCCGCCAAGTTAGCGGTAAGCCCTCTACACTGAGTGACTCTGTTCGCGATGTGAACGGCGGCTTTATTGCTGACAACTCGGCCAAAGTCGAGCGCTGGCGTGAGCACTTTGAGCACCATCTCAACTTCGATACCCAACCAACATCGCCCTTGCTCTCCTCCACAGCGGAGTTTCTTCCCCCTCCTATCTATGCAGTGCCATGCGATTCCCCCTCCGAGGAAGAAGTCGCCGATGCCATACGAAAGTTGCGCAACCATAAGGCACCCGGAGAGGACGGTATACCCGCTGAAATCTTTAAGTCTTGTGTCGACACTC